CAGAACCACCCAGAAAGGTCCTGGTTCCCCCGGGACTCCAACCCAGAGGATAACCACCACACCACCGTGCTTTCCCTTCTTTTAAAAACAATTGAAGGTGAAAAGCCTTCACTCACAGACTCCAGGAATCCCAGCAGAGCCTCTTTGTTCCTCTTCCACTCCGGGTAGAGCTCGGCCTCCGAGGGGAATTTGTCACAGCCGAGCTCCACCGTGATCTCCAGACAGTTGGTGTGCAAATAGTTAAAATCAGACATACCTGCAAATTAGAGATGCTCAAGTCGTGTGAGAACCAGGGAAAGAAGCGAAGGGGAAAAAAACTCCTTTAGACTGTTAGAATTTGGCTATAAATACTCACTTTAGCATTGTATGCTATCACATGATCTATGTAAATTACTGATTGTTTAACTGTGCCTATGGAAATTGAATTGTTGTTGCTGTCGTTGTCCTTTTTGAGTTGATTATTTTTCTCTTCTTGTTTTTCTGCTTTTAAATTCTCTGTGAAGCACTTTGAATTGTCTTGAACACGAAATGTGCTATACAAATAAACTTGCCTTGCCTTGCCTTATTCCTTATAGAACCAAATTTTTATGTTAAAGTCTCTGGCTGTGTCCACAGATTCTCTCTTCTTTCTTTTCCTTTTTCACTTTTTATTTTCTGTTGTTTTCTGCTGCATCCTTTAGGTCAACACACCATTTGTTAGCACATTCCTGTCATCTGCATGAATTAGGACCTGGCCTGTTCCTGCCCAGAGGTAACTGGCCAATAGGACTTGGTTGTGTCCAGTCCTCCTTTGAGGAGGCGGATGGAGCCCAGGAGATAATGCCCATCACCCAGATCTCAGGGCTCTTTGCCCACTGAGACCCAGAGAGAGCTTTTAGTCTGTCAGAGCCCAGCTGATACACTTAACTGTGACCCAATAAATGTCATTTTTTATACTTTTGATCCACTCTGGTTTATTCTCAGGTTTCCAACTAAAGAATCGGGCTAAAATCTCTAAAATCAAACAAATCTCACCGCCAGCGAAACTGTACCACAGCGCCCCGTTGATGATGCCCCGGGTCCGGTAGAAGGACGCCCCGCAGCGCTCCGTGTCATTATTGGACATGGTGGCGTGAGCATCAGCATAGGTCCGAGCCAGCTGCTTGAAGATCTGAGAGTGGGAGCATTTCTGGTAAAGGAGAAGCCTCCAGCTTTCCGCCCACTCACACGGGTGGGTCTTAGGGAGGACTCAGAGATTGGTGAAAACAAGGGTTTATTTGAAAAACGGAGTGGATGCGGGCAAAGTTCAAAACAAGGCTGTGAAAAAACTATGAACAAAGTATCAAAGCAATAAAGTTAACATGACTGTGGCAAAAGTATCAAAACAAGACTATGGCAAAAGTATCGAAATAAAGTAAACAAGGCTGTGGCAAAGTACCAAATCAAGATTAACAAAACTGTGACAAAACATGGCTATGACAAAAAACGTGGCTATGGCACGAAAGTAAACTAGGCTGTGGCATGGCTGTAAAAAAACTGAAACCTTACGTGGCAAGGGGTGACGAAAACAGAAAGACGAAAATGCACAGGACATGGAAAACTATGAACAAAGTATCAAAGCAATAAAGTTAACTAGGCTGTGGCATGGCTGTGAAAAAACATGGCTATGACAAAAAACGTGACTATGGCAAAGTACAAACAAGATTAACATGGCTGTGGCAAAAACAAAGGCTATGGCAATGAAGTAAATGAGGCTGTGGCATGGCTGTGACAAAAATCAAACCTGACGTGGCGAGGGGTGACGAAAACATACAGACGAAAACGCACTGGCCCAGGACATGGGAAACTAGGACTATTTAAACACATGAGGGAGGGGAACCCCAGGTGAACACAATAGGTGATCAGCTCCACTGAGTCCTGACTGGCCAGTGTGTTCTGTCATGAGGGTGGATCTTGAGGAGGACTCAGTCGTGGAGATTCGTGAAAACAGGGTTTATCGGAATAAAAAGGCACTCAAACGGAGTGGATGCGGGCAAAGTTCAAAACAAGTTCGTGAGAAAACTTTGGCCAAAGTAACAAAGCAAGATTAACAAAACTGTGGCAAAGTATCAAAGTAAGAGTAAACATGACTGTGAAAAACATGGCTATGACAAAAACAGTAAACAAGGCTATGGCATGGCTGTGACAAAATCATGGCTATGGCGAAGTGCAAAAAATCAAAACCTTACATGACGTGGGGAGACGAAACAAGGACGAAAACGCACTGGCACAGGACATGGGAAACGAGGACTATTTAAACACGAGGGAGGAGAACCCCAGGTGAACACAATAGGTAATCAAGACATGATGAGACACCAGACATTCCCCCAGACGTGACAAACCTGCTCATCCGGGGTGGGAGAAAACATCTTCTCCTCGTGGGGGTGTCTGGAGAAGTCAAAGGGGTATGACACCACCAGTTCCCCCCCGTGGAGGGAGGCAGACTGGACGAAGGGCAGCGATCTGATCCACTTCATCACCGCGTAGGTCTCTGGCGCCACCTGCAGCCCAAAGAAGGAGTTGATTTTATTTTATTAACCCTGTAATGCCAAATGTGTTGTATTTAATACATACGGTTCGTGAAATGTTTTGCGTCTAACACCTTTTGCAGAATTTAATGGTTAAAACTTTGCTCAAAATCCTATTGTACACAATCAGATACACCTGATAACAGGGGGCAGAAAACTACACAAAACATAATCTTGACTTATCGTATAGTAATAAATTATTAATATTAAAAATGTATTTCTGTTTTTTCTTTGTACATATTTTGTTAAAAAGCTAAATAAAGTATTCAAACCAAAAAAATGTCATTTTCGGGTTTGCTTTATTCTTGGATCGGGATTTACACCATCAATTAGCCTGCGACGCTACATAAAGTGTGTTTGCGGTATCGAGTGTTAGCATCGTACCGATCTAAATTTAGCTAAGCTAACGCGGTAATTTCGGTCTGTTAAGTCTAAAAGACTGTTCATTGGAAGGTAATTGTATTTTTATTTTGATGCCTTCATTGACCGTTCAAATTAAAGGATATGAACCATCAGCTTAAGATTCAGACGATCAATTAGCTAGAGATGCTACATAAAGTGTGTTTGCGGTATCAAGTGTTAGCATCGTACCGAT